AGTTATGCCAAGATACTTACTGCCCATAATTCACCCAACACTTCTGTGTTCCAGGATGCGCCCCATGGCAACATATGGAGTTATAGTCATTGTTTTCTTTTAAAAAATGTCAACACAGAGAACAAGAAGACCGGTTCAGTAAAACGTTACTTCGGAATTTGAAACGGTGTTGACATGAAACTCGGATGAGTTTCTGTTCGACGGCGCGGTTCAATCGAACTTGCCACGCTGTGTCAGCGTGTGTAAAACATGTCAGCGGTTTCGACTCAAATATATTACCACCAGCTACAAAATCGTCTGCATTGTCTATGGATTTGGCACATTTTGTTCAAACTACTTACATCCGAGTCGGAGAAATTCTATCAAATATATTCGCAACAAAACGGATGAGTTCGCAATACTCTGGCGATTCTTCCGCTTGGTAAATTTGAAATCTTGTAGGGATTTTAAACCCGGCGCTGTCATGTTTGCCATTGTCCCCTTTTATTATATCTTGCTACGCCTCTTCTATACCAGCTCCATATTATCATGTTTTCTCAGGACAGCTTTTCTAATTCGGAGGCCCATTGGCTATTAAAAGACCGTCTTTTCCAGGCTTGTTCGTCATGGATGAGATCATTGGACCGTTCCTAGAGCATCCAGTTGATTTGTGCCTTCTGATGTTGACCACAGATTTCTTAATGCAATCGAAATGCCGTGAATCCTAGTCTGACTAGCCGCTTGATAGCCTGATGCGCTCACCAAAACGAGAAATGAACATCCCAGTCAGCTAATATGTTGGACACTGACGCGTCCAGGCGTCTCGTGTGCTTCAGAAGATCGAGTATACGGTAAAGGAGTTTCCTGTAGATTATTTGCATTCGGGCGTGGACAAATTTGGAGTCAGGCGGTAAATTTAGAGAAACTGTGGTATGATGTTTGTTGTGGTGCTCCTATCTTCCGCATTAAGCAAATCTATTTTGAAGGAATGCCAATGATTTTGGGTGATATGAAGGCGAATTTGGACGAAGTGTACTGTGTCCCGTTAAGAAATGCGCTTATTTGCACAACAATCATGTTTTGTCATGAATCTGAGATGAGTCCAGCTGAATCGCTTGATGTGATGAGCTGCCTCATCTGAGTGCGCTGCACGAGCTCTCCTCAGTCTCAGTACGATAGTCGAGTCATCACAATACATTGTTGTTTAAATAATAATGTTTCTGAAAACCCACGCTCCGTCCACGAGAGGTCTTGCCCTTCCAGGGGCTACCGTCCAAACCGAATTTGTGCGCAAACCAGACTACTTGTCGAAATATACCTACTCAAATTGGCTCATTTGCTCAGGAATATTCCTACAAAAACTTCACAAGTAGTTGTTCTTGTTGTAATACCTTGCCCTTCCTGGTAGATTTCCTGGTCGGATCGAAATGACCTGACAAAATGCAGATCGCAGTAGTGGATAACTATAATCCGGCATTTTGTCGACAGTATTTTCCTGATTTTGCGAGGTTCCCATTTTTGATTCCCATTAAGGATGAAATAGATTTACACTGCATCTCAGCCTTTCGACACTGACTGCGTTTACTTACAGAAAGAGATCTACACTACAAATTCCTGCGTTTTTCATACTATCAGCAACTGGGTACGGAAGCTAGCAGCAGCATAGTTGTGTAACGAGCGAGGAATGTCCGTCACCAAATACATAATCACCAGAAGGTAATATCCGTGGTTTTGTGATAACCGAACACATTTTGTTGGTCACTTTGTTCTTCTGGATTTCAAAGATTTCAGTTAATGTCTGGATATCCAACACAGCAAACCACAAGCTACTGTGACATTCACAGAACGACAAGTCCATGCTAAGATGAAGCCCAATCTGCTGTGATAGATTTAGCGCGCTTTCTCAAGTTGAAGGCGTGATTGGACCTTTGTCGAATTTCGAATAGTAATTAACGTTCAGGGCATGAACAGGTCTGGTGGACATAGCCACAAGACCGGAGAAATACACGCGATAATTTGCTGCACAATGAGAACATGAGAACCATTTTAACAATTGGTTTCGACTTGTAATATGCATTTATCTTGTAAACAAAACCTTTGGAACAAGGTGGAACTTTATTTCATCCGTAGAAAATTGCTTTCGGACGTTCAAGTTGGCTTAGGTGGATAATATTGTGCATATGCCTCGAAATTACTGACTGTGTATCAAATCCAGCTTGGTAAACTCAACTAATCCAGTCTGAACAAACCGGCGATTGGTCATCACTTGTGATTCCCTCGTGCACTATGGCGGCTGCATACCAAAACGGTGCTGTAGCTGAAATATCACTATTATTATTATGTTCCTAGTATTGAAACTGTTACTTTATCACTTTGAAATTCATATCTTCAACCATAATGCTGCAGAAAGTGGATGTGTGTGGATGTGTTAAGACAAACTTGACAGAGCATACATGACATTACAAGCATTTGCGAATGCATTTTATTTGACCGGTTCAACACTGAAAATACATCGAGACATTGTCAGCTCGTGTGATCAACTGGCTGCTGATCTGTTCGTGAAGCTCAACAGTCGGATTGCAGATGTTCCAGTAGACATTAGCCTCCCACGGTAATAACGCTTACTATGCTGATGACAGTGAACCGTTTGTAAACTTACTGTCAGGCTGAGCAAACTGATTGGCAGACAATTGATAGACAGTCCATAACGGTTCAACTCTGGCTGTTACTCATTCACCAGAGGCTTTGGTGAGCCGTCGTTCTTTTGGACGGTCCCCCGGAACAGGTCATGGACGATCAGTGATTTGTTCGTTTGCAGAATGCGTGTACAAGTGCGAGCTACGTTTGACCGAAAGACACCGAGTAAACCCTAAAGTAAAATTTAATCCTGATGGTTTAGTGTTAGAAGTTTGAACACACCAGGAGAGGCCAGCTGAACTTCAAGGGAATCACAACAGTTGCTGTTGCTAAAGTTGTAATTTCATCTTATGAATAATGCCGTGAAGTTGTCTCCCAATTACTGCTTACATTTTGGTTGCCTACTTTAGTGTTATATATCGTATTTGTTTGTATAGTTTTCATGAACTATGCAGCCAAAAGCGCACCCTGAATGATCACATGCAGTAGACAAAATGTCTTTCTGACGAGGCCCAGTTTTGGCAGTTACGATAATCATGCGCAAGGTGCATTCATGGAAGCGTACTTTGCTCGGAACATTGGTCATGGAGCTGGGTGTAACATTCCGGGCATACGCATTAATATTATCATCCAAACAACTCTTTGTTCGTAAAAAATTGCAGCTTTTATTCATCCTGGTTATTAGTGAGATCCGATGGTTGGGAGCGTTTCCGGCTTGGCAGTACAGAAAGGCTTGAGCGATTAAAAGGAATCTCTATTTGAACGGGTTCAAATTTTCATCCTACTAAAGATCCATAAGCAGACCAGAGGAATAACAGTTTCACAAGATGCATGAATGTTCCTTCTGAGATGCCGTCCCACTTACCTGGTTATCCAGCAGGCAAATCAAGGAGCCACAACCAGCCAGATATATTGGAGGGATTTCTCTAATCAATAACAACAGATTGCTTAAAACACATCTTTGAAATTTTCCACATCCGCACTAAGACATTTGGCTTAAATAGGTTCTTTTGAAGGCTAAAGAACATGATAAATTTTGGCATGCATAACATTCACTGATACGATACACAATAGTGTCGTGTGTGAACTGAGTTTCAGACACCCCGAATTCAGAATCCCAACTGCCAGATCAACTCGCTCATTTTGTGGCGTGTAAAGTATCCAATGATTTATATTAGTAAAAGAAAAAGTCGATCACCAAATACTAACCCAGTGCGAATTCATGAACCGTCTGGTCGTAACAGGTGCAACATTCGACGTTCCTTGAGGGGACCTAATGCTCATCGGTTTATGTCGTATGACCAAAGGGCAAAGCGGCTCAAGGTACCACTGTTCTGTGATAATCTGAGACCCCAAAATTCTTCTCGGGCCACCAAAAATTCTTGCTAGGAGTTTGCGCATTGTATGGTAATTAGCCATTCAGACTCGTCCGATGGACAATTTAGGAACACCAGCTATTAATATCTCTAAATTGATGTTTGAATGTGGTTATTACTTCGTTCAGATGTATTTTTTAGCGACCGCGTCGTGAATACACCAGGTTGCGAATTCACTCTAGACTGCTAGCAGTAAGCAAGCAGATCTGTGGGTAATACATTCGAATGTTTAATTCTCACTCGATTTCGACGGGAGTACCGACCAGTGTAGCGACCGATGCTGACTTTGACGATTATAGCGATCGAAATCTGAAGTATACCTCCATCCGAGGTTTTACTTCCCCAGGTGTAGTCCATGAACCCTGAAAAAACGTCGGACTCTCATTACTGAACGCGTCCAGCAGCGTGGTTCATGTGAGCTCATATTGGAGGAACCGCCCCCAATCCAGCACGTTAGTGTCGGAAAACACCTGATTAATAAAGAACACATAGAACAGGTGGTGCAAAAATTGCAATCGGGACCGCGCAATTTTGACCTTGAAGATATAATTACGCATTGGAGTGGGGTGGAACATATCATCGACTGCCTTTGCTGGACTATTTGATTGCCTCAGCGTCCAATATGCGACGGGCCAATTTTGCTCTCTTGTCGTCTAATCTTTTGCGATTTAGATATCCTTCAAGGGTCTCAGTATGTTAAGGGCATTATGGAGTGAAGCAAGCAGCTGCGTAAAACCCTTTGGCAAACGCATCGGAGTCCAAAGAAGTGATCCATGTTTGTCCTAGAAAAAACCACAGTTCACAAATGTGAACAAATTTTTGGAAGAACTTTGCACGAGTGATCGACCTTGAAACACGCTGATCAAAATATACCATCATGCCCTGATTAGCGTGGACTTTGTACCGCAACCAATTAGGTTTGTAGTGGAAAGTTTTCTGCACTGGCACCATACATGCATAAGGCAAAGTTCGATTCACAAGGAGCGCACAGTATAAAATTACACGCATATGAAGCTTCAAGTAACACTGGATGCGATGCGCCATTGTTCGATTCTCATTGCACTACTGTTCTGCCTCGTCCATGCTACTCGGTTGGAAGCCATCGGATTCCAAAATTGGTCATTCATACTTAACAATAATCCTTCAAAGAACTGGGTTATCCTTGCCGCTGGTTCCAACTCTTGGATAGATTATCGACATCAAGTATGTTTCAGTTGGTTTTCGTTGGTATGAGTCTCAAAAGTGATACTAAAGCCTGAACGAAAATGATTTCAAAGTGATATTTTGAAGTGATAATACCCCAAACAGCAGTGTCCAACAAATGGAAGCATTCTAGTGATCTGTTCAATTTCCACAGTATTACCTGGTCATGCGACGATATTCCGCCTTTTGTAGAGTGGATTATCCGTACCTATTGAACACAGATTTAGATGTAGAACAGTAGATGTAGAAACTGATTTCGCCCCAATGAATGTTTTTTTCGTTGCGCTATTTTAGGTGAAATCACCGCCTGAGAATAGGATGTATGATTTTGCAGAAAAACAGGAGAGAGATTGAGAATTGGCTCACCCTCAAGTAATTGCTAATCATCTAACATTACTTTGTAGCCCTATCACAGTAGAGAAACACTCCGTCGTACCGTAGCCCAAGGTGACCTGATCAATAAGCCAGGATTTAGAAATCTCAAAAAAGTCCAGTGACGTTAGGTTTTTATTGGGTAAACGCCCGTCAAACCGCGTTTTCAAGTATGGTGGCGCGCTAAATAATCGCATCATGGGCTAGCTGCTTGTGGCTAAGCTACTCATCGTGGTAATACGGGTTTGATGTTAGCGAAATTGAGTCTCTCGGGAGATTATTGAAATGCGCACTACAGACAGTTCCCAATGAGGATGAAGTTTCGACGGAGCTCGGCGTCAGCTACAGAATGAAATCTTGATCGAAATAAGCCGCGCAATGCCATAAATCTCTCAGCATCGGGCTGTCGGTGATTTCTATCCTCTCCGGAGCAGCCAGACATCTGATCAGTTAGCTCAGGTGTCCAAATTCAAGCCAATAATTAAAACAAACACACGTTGGCATCTAACGATCAAATTTTTGGACTATGAGATGCCATCAAAATGCATTCGGGAGAACTGAGACTCTACCAATTATGGATGGTTCTAGACACTCTGCCTTTCTGTTAGTCGCTGAACCCCACTCCCCTTGTTATCCTTTACTCATCATTCGTGTGTTTTCTCCTTCAGGCGAACGTTTACCACGCGTATCAAGTCGTGCGTGCAAACAATGTTCCAGCGGAGAATATAATTACCTTTGCCTACGACGATATCGCAAACAATCCTAAGTAAATATCGCGTGCATTTGTAACTCCTGATAGTAACTAGACTGTAGAAAATGCGCTTCGTTTTTTGCTCATTTTGGTCAGTAAGTGTCTTGAATATAATTCATCGATGGAATCGGGTTGCAACAAATTTTGTGTTTTGCGCGTCACCTCAGATATACCATGAATTTTCTTTTCTTTCAAGACTTTCCATGATTGTAAGCGCATTGGACTGCCGATGCGATCAGCACAATCTTTACTGAATCGCATGCCAGCCATCGTGGTATACCGTCGCTAGTGAACAGCACGTTTTAACCACGCTTTGTCTGTTATTAGTCTGAAATTAGTGATATCAGTATCTAAATATCGTTTGAGAGAATCAGTTGGCTGATTACTTGGAGCAACTATTAAGTAGACAATGTAGTATCCCTATCGTTTCCTACCATAGACGATTTCAGGGATATGTAGAAAAAACCTTCGAAGGACATGACAAGTACGGCCTTGTTTGGAGGATGCAACAATCGGAACTCGATTTGACTGTATGTTTACGTAAATGAATTAGCTTTTCACACAAAACCAGTAATGCTGTATGTTGTGAACTCCACCCGGACCACTATAGGATCTCCATATCATTGCTGCTTTAAGAATCGTTAGTTATTCCATAATCGAAAGTGACACACATTGCACACAACGGCGTCGAAAGTTTATTCAAAATAAAAGCCCGGAACGAAATACAAACAGAATTTACGAGCAGTTCATTTCTTTCTGTTCGACCTACATGTTGACTTCTCCGAAAACTCGCTGCCGTATTTCGTTCTTTTATTTCAGAAATCCGTTTAAAGGCAAAGTGTTCCATGATTACGAGCACGAAGATGTCTACGGGGGTGTGGTCATTGACTACCGTGGAAATGTAAGTTCGGTGTGCAGCAACCAAACGAATTCCTGCGTGTAACACAAAGTGCAATTAAAATGTCACTGCATATCGAAATAAAATATGAAACGTGGAGGAGATAAACCAGTTTTACTATATTACAGAATGTTGAATTTAAGTGAACGGACACTAGTCATAATCTCATAGAGAAATCTCGGGCAGCCCACGACCACTTTAACCTTATGCTTGCGGCTATCAATTAGGCAAGCGTTTTTTTTTTCAAATAACACGAAAAGTGCCCGGCGCAGAATCTAAATTCGATTTTTTTGTTAGACTGCAAATGGGCGGTCATTGTGAATAGAATGAGTGTGGAAAACGCCATTGCCACGAGAATCATTGATCATGACTGTTTACCCTTTTAGGAGGTCAACTCAGATACCTTCGTGAGAGCATTGAAAGGTGATAAGAGACTAGAAAGACAAGGGAAGAAGGTGCTCAAGAGGTGAGTTCGCTCGCTTGTGGATGACTTTTCTAACCACAGATAGAATTCTAGTGTTCCAAGTCACAGTTTTGGGATTCACGAAATGGGTGTTTATTATTCTCGCTAGTGAGGTGATTATGTAAAGTTCCCATAATTCAGTCAAAAATAGTTGTTCGTTTTCTCAGAAAAACCGGTTTCTTAATTTCAGACGTTAGGCTATTTTTTTATCATTGGCATCAATCTCCAATGTTACGAAGTTTCCAAAATATTCATATATGCGCAGTTGTGAATGGATAACTGTCTGCTTGGTATTGAGAAAATTCTGATCGGTCGATTTTGGCTTGCTGGGATTGAATGAAACAAGTGAATACTGCTGAATGTATAACCGAACTCCCAGTTCACTTTCAGTCCCAACGATTGGTTCTATGGGAGTTCGTTATATCCATATTACAACTCACCGATATTAGTCTCAGCCTTCGGGATACCCGTTTCACTTTGGGTTCCAAGCGGGTTGGTAATGACACAGTTCATTTTTGAGATTCCTCCAACCCTTGGTGACCCGGCCATGGGGAGACGGAAAGCGTCGGCATACAGAGACAACCCAGGAAAACGGGCAAATTTTGATTCACTTGCAAACCACAAATCTCTCATCCGGTCAGTTATATAGTGGTTAGATTTGAAACTGCGGCGCAATCCGTAATCCCTGCTCTTCGTGCGTGTTTGATTAACCTAGGTTTCGTACGTGGACCTGGAATGAATCTTTCTGCACATGTCCCCGGTTTTCGCCAACCATGCAATTTCGTTTGCAGTACAGCAGAACCTTTCTTGATTGAACAGTTTTTTTGAACACCGAATTCCTGGCCTTATTGCGGACCTTTGTGTCAGTTACTGATCTGTTCTTCTTCAACTTTGCTCGAAGAAACTTGGTGCTCCTTATTCGTGTCGACAGCCATTCCGGAGCAGTGGTCTGGTAGCTGTCCATGTGGGCATTTGTCTGAGGTGTTACTGGTCTTGGAGTGAAGAATTTCTGTGCTCACCCTGGGGGATGGAGATTCCTCTGCCTGTCAAGAGCACTATATATTTCGGTAGCAGGGTAGTATTATAGAAAACTGTGTTTTCATAAGAAAACATCGTTTGACATATTCAAAAGATATATTTTTGTTAATTGCTACATTGTGATTCCGATCGTTTGTATTTTGGAACTTGGCTATTCACTTCCACTAAGGTGCTTAACATATCTAATGCCTAAATGAACAGCAATGTGAATGAAAGCCTTTCTAATCCTAAGCTGATCAAATTCAGTGTTTCCGATACCGCTTGCATTTTGTTGGGATATCGATAGAAAGCAAAATACACTTTGGAATAGGTTATCAAAGGCAACAAACAGCTTCGCACAATGAAAGCAGCTTTATCAACAGAAGGAGCGTCTACTCTACTCAAGTTACACCTCAAAAGGGATTCCGAACAACCAATAAAAATGAACTACTGAATCAAAAGCCGTATCAACAATGGGCAGACAGTGGCAACAAAAATCGGCAACCGATCAATCCGAGGTTAAACAAATGGTCCTTAGACAGTAAATTTTGGAAGCGGCAGTCAAACTCAGAAGACAAAGATCTAAACGCAAGACAGCTCGATAACTTTCAATGAGATCCCAATCAGAGTATGCTCCCGTCAGCCAGTCACATCCGCATAAACCTCACACAGGTGTGGGGGAAATGCCGAACAAACCATTCACTCATGAAGTCACTTCGGTTTGTGACGAAACATTTGCAAGCTGCTCACCAAAATGGGGGAACAGATGAGCACCCTCTTGGTCAACGACCAGCAACCAAGACATTGCCAGATCGGTTTTAGACAAAACATATGGCTTCCTGGATATCCATGTTCAAAATGCAGATTTGCCTCGCGTTGGTTATGATATTTTCCTCAGATGTGTATACATTATGTAGATATTTTCATGAACAATACAATAGCAAACCAAAGGTCGTCGAAAAACCTGTTTTTCATTTCCATATTCATGTTGCCATGCAAACAGTAGACTAGTGTGATTTACTTTAGCTATAGTCATAGCGATAAGCGTGTACAAAACAACATTCTGACCTGCGTGTTCACTATATTTCCACGTCTTTCGTGTTAAGTGGTCAATATTTAAGCGCATAGACACAGTACACATGTAGAGCAGAACAGTGTATCATGGGCAGAATGGGACTGTGGAAGTTCTCACAACTTTCTTGTTTCCTCAATCAGCAGTTATCCAAGGCCGATAACGTAACAATTCGGCTTATCCAACTTGTGACTAAATCCCAATATCTGAGGGAGCGCCATCCAATAAGACCGCCTTTACCTTCCCGTTCACTTACAGTGGTCCTGATGACTACGTTTTCATCTATTACTCTGACCATGGTGCACCTTACTCTATTAAGTTCCCAATTGGATCAGTAAGTTTTGCCAATTTTTGTAGCCACATTTATGATGTACCGCTTTTTTAAAAGGAGGTAAATGTATGCGGATAAAAGAGGCCTAGATAAGCTTTCGTTGGCGCATTTTCATCCGTAGTTTCTCACGACAGGGAGTTAATATCTACAACTGTCCTACACGTCAACTGACAGATGGAATAGAAGTTACTATGTTCGTATGTGTCTCACTCGAGGTGGTAGGCCTTATCGACATCACTGGTGACTTAAACCTCGATTGACAACTTCTCACATCTAAAATCTATTCGCCGTATGACGCTCTGTTCCTTCTGAGCTATTTGTGGGCTGTCGGTATTGGGATGACATCTGGAATTTTTCGATTCTATGAATATCTTCCAAAATTTCCATGAAATATCATTAGGGCTGAAATTCACTCTCTAGATTGGCTTGGCTTACAGGACGGCATTTCAACCCGTCACATGTGGTACAAGACTTCGACGGCAACTCCGCATATCAACGCTAGATTAACACAAATAGGAACTCCTTTCTACTGAGGATACTCATGTGGTTTTTATTATTGTGTTTATTTTTATTATTCAATCAGGCATATTAGGTCAATAGCGGCGGATGTGATGTGGAAACGGGACCGTGAAAATGGCACTCGGAGTGATCTAAAAATCAGTCTATCAAACCGGCGATTCATTATTCCGATTTTCTGACTGCAAACTTATTCAATCTAGCATTGATCCTTGCGTGCCCTCTCCAAAACGGATTTACTGAACTTCGCCAATATAGCTGACTAACGCTTCAAAGGACATGGCGGCACTCATATTCAAAGTAAACAAAAACACTTAACAGAGTACTCAGCTATAACTTCTGAATGACCAAGCAAAGCACATTCATACTTTGTCCCTCAACTGATCCTGGTGGGCAGTATTCCATAAAAATCAATATCCGTTCTGCTGGAACACCTATTCGATGTCCAGCTGCTATAGCACCCAAATAAAGCTCGAGGGCTGAGACACTGCTAAGTCTCTAAAGCCTAGACAGGAACAGCCGAAATTCTGAGGTTTGGATCCAACCTCAGGAATGCCGGTCCGTAAGTTCACACATTAATCCCTGGGTTATCAAAAGCTTACGATGGATTTTCTTTTTGCCTTACGACAGCTTGATGCCCTGGAGTTCAACGATATCCTTGCCTGCATGTATCTTAACAAAATGTACAAGAAAATGGTGGTTTACATGGATTCTTGCTACTCTGGCTCTCTCTTTTACGATATTCTTCCTACGATTGCTGGAAGTAAGTATTGCAAAATATGTCTGGCTGTCTATGGCGGAGCTCTTGTGAAATGGCACCCAAAATGTCCCTCACATATGCATAAATAACCACAATGGGCAGTGAAACAGAACGCGGTTCCAAGCCTGGTTCATTCTCTCCGTCTTCGTGGATCTAGCATGGAGTTGATCCTTGGCTCTATACAAGAAGCGTTCAGCCGATGTTTCCACATAACTCAGCGTCCATCGATTAATGTCGGTTCTGCCGGTGACCTAAATTCGGCTGGGTGGAGGAAATTATTAAATAACCGGTGCAACACGTGTGATATTTTGGTGTGCCTGTGTGGAACGCCTGTTGCTACGTGGCTACGTTGGGAATTATAAATGGATCATGGTTCTCTTATCAAGAGTACACTTCATACCATCAAACAACTGGTCTGCTGCTTGTTCCGTGACTACCTACGAACGGACTCTTCAGTGGTCTGTTCTGAGTGGTTCTTTTAACTTCAATTCAGATATTTAATTTACACACAGATTTTATTTTGACGGACTGGCCCAACTGAATCTAGCTAGATGTCTCGCGTGCAAGAGGGGTTAGCACCTGCTGTACAATCTGGGCTCAAGTAGTAATTAAGGTTGAGGAAAAGTCCTTGAACGCGCCTATCTAATTAGCCCTAAGAAGCGTTAAATCCATGGTATTAGTTGTCGTCTCCTGGCGGCTTAACATTTTTTGTTAGTCAGAATATCGTTTTGTTTGATGGTTTACCTCAGTAGTTTACAATTTTATGATGTTGATCTATGTGTCCTGTTATTTGAACGCCTCAAAACTGCAGTATACGTGACAACATCAGCCAACGACAAGGAACTAGCCTTCGCTGTTTTTTGTCGTGACGCGAAAATCGAAGTTTGTCTAGCGAGCGAATACTCGTATGCATGGATTACAGATTCGCATTACGTGAGTTCTATCGAAAATTTTACAGATACACCCCTGTCAGCTGTTGATGGGTAATTCGGTGGTAGTCAGCAGGCGGTGGCCGCGCATTTGATTATCTAAATCACTTATTTGTTTATTTTTAATGAGTTAGCCATACTCTCTCTGTATATAACTGTGTATGTTTGGGTGACAGTGTGGGCAGGTGTCTTGGAGAGTCAGTAAATAATATTGCCGTTTGTGAACCCTCCGTACGAAGTTTTGTTTTGGCTTCTGGAATTCGATTACCATGCGCAGTACGGAGCATGCTGCTAATGCTCACACGGATTCTTGCTTTTCGACAAATGGTGTTTGCCATAGAGCGTCAAATCCCCACATGGTTTGTATGTGTCCCGGAACAACGGAGTACTCCTCGGTTCATCAGTATTATGTGTCGTTCAATATCTCGGATGTCTATCATCTAGTGATGTTTTCACTTGTCAGCTCCATATGGTTTTTCTTTGTTCCTATCTCTTACCCGCGTGCAGAAGGACATAAAGAAGCGTACACTGGATCAACAGTACGAGGAGGTGAAAAAAAGGACGAAACAAAGTCACGTGATGAAATACGGTGAAAAGGTGAGTCATAAAAGATCACGGAGAAATTCAGTTAAGTCACTTGTGAAAACCAGTCTGTTATGAATGTGAGTGTATTTGTCCAGATGACAATTTTGTTTTGATCCCTTTGAAAGTTGGCGGTCAATTGTGAAAATAGTTGATTCGGGACTTCAGCTTCCTTAGGCGAGGTTCCCCAAGTTACTTAGTCCAGCCATCTAGTTATCCAAGACCAGCCAGTTTCACGTTCTGGATAATCAATTAATGGTGTTGCGCAAGTTGTACTATATACCTTTCTGTGCTACAGTACGAAATGAACTCAAATACATATGGATCATCAACAAGTACCCCAGAATAAGAATAGATATACACGATCCATATAAACACGTCACAGACTCATTGTCGTGCGACCCAAGTCTAAACTATACCATGTGACGATGTCTAGTGAACAAGCTCATTGCGTCTCACGAATCAGACATATCTCATGACAACCTAAAACTCGTGTACATATCACTGGTGTGACAAATAGTTCGTGTGATTGCATCACATGCTTTCAGCAAACGTAATGATGCTATGAGTTCGTTCATTTTATTGTCACAGTATGATTTGAACAACAAATTAATTTGGACAACAGTTAGTAGTTGACGAACAACTAAATGATGCACGTTCACTGCCTCTTGAACTATGGAAGGCGACCATGCGCACATTCGGAAGGTACGCCGGCAAATCCGACAATGAACTCCGGTCCGATTCGCAGAAATTTAGTTGATGTAGATTAGAATTTCGTCATGAACCTCAATATGCTCACTTAGAGGATAGTACTAGCGATTCGGTGGACATCAGTGCTACACAGTGATGTTTTTGGGAAACAGTTTCGGGAGCGATGTTTATGGCTCAATCAAATCATTTAACACGAACACGTGAGCAATAAAGTGCAGAACTAAGGTTGAAGGATAAGCCGTTTGTTCATTGTATGTAACAGGACGCTATGTTATTTGGTGATGCACTGATAAGCGTCCCTATTGTATATTTTAGGAAATGGGAAGTCTCCCAGTTGGGAAATTCCAAGGGCATTATGATCTACTGACAAACCGGAATGATGGGGCAATTGCGGTATGTGTTCTTTGCAACACACGAGATTTTGAATTGTATATTGGAACGGTCATTTCTTACGTCATTATCTGTTTAACGAACCAATTGATCACTCCACATTGCAATGCCAGTCCAATAAGTTGAGTTGTTCAGAAATCGATTGTGTCAATCACTTGAGTGACAGAAACCCTTACCATCCCAGTCGATATCAACATATACGAATTTTCATTAGGACCGGCTCAGTAACCTCCATTGAAACATTTGGTGATTGGAATGAGATTGGCCGCGACCAGCACGGTTCATCCAAGAAGCCTCTCCATATGGCGTGCTTCAAGAGTCTAATTTTCGTGACAAGTGATAATTTGCTGTGCTACGTCAGTAAACGGTCCCATTACAGCTCCCCGGGTTCGTAGATAAATAAACATGTAATTATTGGGTGCACGAGCGTGATTTCACGCAAGTTCACGCGTGATTGGCAGGAATGTATCAGTCAGGTTTGCCGTTTTAAGGATGTATGTTTTAGACACCTTGAAATGAGTTCTCATGTTGTTTTAGCCACAATCGTTGTATAAATTGTATGGATACTGGAAGACTTGACTAGAAATGCAAGAAACACGAAGTGTGAAAGTATGCTGCAACCGCATTCTAGGTGTAGGCAGCAGGAAAATGCTGTTTATAATTTGGAAATTAAACCCATTATATTTCTTTCTTGAGTCGGGCAAACACATACACAGAGTGAATTATGAGCAAATACAAAATTCCACCAGAACAGCTCTTGTGAAAGACTTCATTCGGATGTTCGCGAAGTCGTGGACGGTGAACATTGACGCATCTCAGTTGAGAGTCATATAATTCTATTACACACAAAATACAAATAGCCAAGTGGACAATCAAAATTTTACTCGTAACATTTTTGGATGTAGAATTTCACTGATGAAGGCCTTACGACGTGCCGAAATCATCCACTTGTTTCTACAATCAACAAGCCGGTGAGGCTCTATAAGTCCTATCCCAAGCTGGCGTCGCACCAGTACCTTAAGAGACCTACCAGAGTTGAGTTTTGTCCGTTTTGTTTCGGATACGGGGAAGGATACCCTTCTTTTAATACTGAGAACTACGTCTGTTGATGTACTAATATGAACTACGTGTCACCCGGGCTTGTTCCTTTCATGAGCGTAGTATGCTTCTGATGTCTCGGAGAAGCCCACAGCTTCTATGCCCAGAAGACTCGAATAGACACATATGCATACCTACCTACCTACCTACATGCATATATATATATACATACATACATACAAAGATACATACATACATACCCACATACATACATACATGCATACATACATACATACATACATACATACATACATACATACATACATACATACATACATACATACATACATACATACATACATACATACATACATACATACATACATACATACATACATACATACATACATACATACATACATACATACATACATACATACATATATACCTACATACATACTTACACACATACATACATACATACATGCATCCATTCACACATAGGTACATACAGATATACAATTATAGGAGATTTATAAACAGAGATAGATGGATAAATACATTGAATATTGAACAACTGCTAAACTCAAGGTGCTACATATTTCTGCATCAACGGGTGTGCTTGGATGAGTTCATGGTATTAAAATACGCGAGATTTAATAAACCGTTTAAAATATTCGGATAAATCCATGGAAGGATTAATGATTTTCGACGTACTCCAAACCAATGTACTGCATAATGAATTTCGGCAGTAATGTGCGTAAACGTGTAAACTAGGTGGTCTTTGGAAGTTTCTCCTAAACATTGTGTAGTCTAGGAATACAATGCTAGCATTCAGCATTCACAAAGCTCCTGTTAGCCGTAAATGTTGCCCAATTGTATTTTTGTTTCAGCCTACTGCTGCAGATAGAAAACCCTCTTCCCGGGCGCATTTGTTTTCACTGTCTCGAAGCATGATGGACGCCACAACCAAGGAAGTACACGAAAGAGCTCGGAGAAAACTGCACCGTGCACTTCAGGTCTGTAGGACTGTTCTTAATCGACTGATCGCAACCGAGGAAGTGTAAACACATTGAAAAGTTAATTCATGTAAGAGTCGATTTGGGTAGTGGAGAATATGTGTTGAGTGTGCATGAATGCAGGCATAGCGTTATCAGTCAATTATATTGGTGGCCGCTTCTGGAAGTCGCCAAAAATATCCAATCGCGTGTTGGTTACATGTGCCCGAAGTCTCTTATAGTCTGTTGAATTCCTCTCACATCTGTTCTTATATCTTCTTTCAGCTTGGCCACATCGTCAAGCAAACGTTTCGCGACATCGTCGAGGATGCGACAACTCACCATAAGCCAACGGTAAAGGGCTTGTCCAAGAGGGATGAGCTCATTTGTTTCAAGGCAGTATTCGATCAATTCCAGTCGCACTGTTTTACAATTCACCAGGTGGGTTGCCCTAAGGGTGCGCGGTGTCACGCATGCAAACATGTGTTTACGTTACTTACAAATACGTTCACTCTTCACGTCACGTAAGGCAAGCAATAATTTCTAGAAAACTCCTAGTTAAACGGAACTTTCGGGGCGCAAATATTACCTGCATCACCAGCACTTTCGTTCCTCTTCTTAAAGATGCGAATTCATCCCGACACATGGTGCTAAATAGTACAATAATTTTGGGATAATCACCGAAGCGAGTGTATGTCTTAGCCCACGAAAACAAGGGCGATTCATAGAAGACAAGCCTGATGTAGGAAATTCAGTTCAGTTCAGTTCAGTTCAGTTCAGTTCAGTTCAGTTCAGTTCAGTTCAGTTCAGTTCAGTTCAGTTCAGTTCAATTCAATTTCAATTCAGTTCAGTTCCGTTCAGTTCAGTTCATTTCAGTTCCGTTCAGTTAAGTGCATTTCAGTTCACTTCATTTCACTTAGGTTCGCCGGCACATCGGACAATGTGGATTTTCGATCCACTGTCAGTGTAATTTTTAAATTTGTCATAGACTTGAACAGGGGAACTTGGGGGATAATGGTAGCGATTCGGTGAACATCAGTGCTAAGCACTAAGCGAGCTGTGCAAAGCCGGATAGCGGCCGAACCACTCATATGCCCACAACGTCTGCCTTCAAGGGGCACGCTCAATGCCGAGTGATGTTGCCAAAATAATGAATGATTGAATTGTCCAGAATTCAAATATGTCGATACTGGCATATCTAGTATTGGCTTGACATTCAACGTGCTCCAATGACAATCGTCTTCACTGTGAAGCATAATGGCCAGGTTTTCTCGGGTATGCTGAGTTCTCTTACTGAGCGACAGGCTGAATATTGCGTGAGCATAATTTCCTGTTCGTTTGGAAGCATTCTAGGTCATTAGTCGAAAACGGTGCTCCACATGTAACATCGCAGTCTGAATATTTAGTTTTCTTCGCTGAGATTCTTGATCTTTCTTTGTTCAGGTCCCCGGGGTAGCGCAGCACACAGCTAGTTTGACGGAGAAGTGTTCTGTAACTGGATACTGTGGTAGACACGGTTGATTAGTGGGGAAACACCTAAGTCCATGCTGATTTTGTTGTCCCTGTCATTTTGTTAATAAAGCTTTAAGCGTGGTTCTGCGTCTTTGTATGCAATGAGTTCTGATTTTCAAGGGTATCATCCGTTCTTTGGGCTCTACTGAAGATGTGCTCCTCCGTCTAAAGATGCGTGGTGTCATAGACAGCGCAACCTCAGAATCTGCAATTTTCCAAGAAAACTATGCCATATCCACTCAGACCCAACCGATCGAGATGATGGTGGAGATGCACCAACCTTTCGGAATCCAGTTCAACGCCGAGACTTTTGCCTCTACCCATGATCCTGGGGGCCTAACCTTCAAACTCTGATCTTGACAGCCTATCAGACAAGTGGTCCTGTTCTCCCCGCCACATATCGAAATGTGAAGTCGTACTCAGTGAACCGCAGTGCCCGGCATGCGAGCATTCCGAGAGGATGTGTGATGGTCGCAACCCAATCTAGGGGTTTGTGTCTTGAAATCTTTGTACAAGCAGGTATCGCCCCCACTTATCCATGGACCGGACGATCGGTTAACATTCTATCTCAATGGTTAAATATTTCTGCTCAATTATGATCAGCACACCATTGGGGAATTTGGTAACTCTATTCGTCTGCTTTGGGTATGAGCGGATACCGCGATCACTAGCATCCGGGGCAACAGTGAACATCCCTCCGACCCTCGGCAGTTTGAAGGTCCGCTGCTGATCCAGCATCCACCCTTTGAAACGCTTGAAAGCCTCATGTGCTTCCCTGGTCTATCCATATTTCTGACGTTGTCTGAGCAAGTCGTACATTAGAGAAAAAAACATGTTGAATTTTTTGACGAATCGGCTGTAGTATTCTGCTCGTCCAGGAAACTGCTGTGGAGACCGTTCTGAATTGAGAGCAGAACACATCTGGAGATTTGGCAGTTTCTCCGCCAGTGAGATAGCCTCTCCGTGACCGAATTTATGCCCTAGTGGGTTACTTTGTGTATTTGTTTGCGTGTATTGTTTGTTGTTTGTGTAATGTTTGCCATATTTCTGGGATAGACTCTAATTTTATACGGAAACCATTCACACTGGGCGTCGACATATCGTTCTCTGAATGTGAAAAACCTCTTGTATGGTTCATGCGCAGGGTAACGAAACATCGAATGAATCACTACACCATGTTACTTACCATGTAAGAGTAGGTGAATAAGGGAACAATTTTCGTAACCAAATCGGTGATTGTAACGTGGAAGATTTATGCAATGGTATTTGTCTATCGCCGTAGGTTATTCGTTGTTCTAGAACATCAGGCTGCCCACTCGTGAATCTCTTTGTTTTCTAGTGCATCATACGCACCGTTAAATCGCGTGAGATGATTGCTACACTTTGCACCACTTGACGTCATCCTCACTTTCCTGGCTCGAACAATATACAGTGGATCGATAGAGACACGGTCGAAAAACGTATGCGACCTGATTAATTTTGGTGATGAGCTGAACTGTGAAACTTTGTGAATGTGAACGTGGGTTTGTTAGTTGACAGAACTTGTTGCAACCGAAGTCCGCATTCGTGCTATCAGAAAAAATACGTGTGGAGTTCACTTTTGCATCATTCCGTCACTCATTTACGAAACTAAAAATTGAAAAGCTCAACCATCAACCACATACTCACTGAATAGTGATTAATTGAATTTAATACTCAGAAGCTGCTGCGTCCTACGCTGAGATGTCGTGAAACACCATGAATCGAGCGCATTTCAGGATAAGTGATATCATCTCAGATTCCCGAGTGGAAGTTGGCCTCCTCACAGAGATACCTGCCCTTTCAAACCCAACAATACATTTTGGGTTCCACATCACATTTCGACAACTAGTCTCATTTGCACACGAATTCACTTTTGGAAAGAGACTCAAATGAACTCCTCCTCAATATGGTCACCTTCAACGCAATGTGGAACATACTGGTGATGGAAGCTCAGGGAGTGCGAGTATTTGGTGATTCCAAGGATGCGGATGCGCTGTTTGATTTTTCAATATATTTCAATAACCCTGTGAGCCTACAACGACGTAGGGTCACGAATATCGTACTAACTGGAATAGGAAGCGGCCCATGCAGCACGTCCAGCTGAATCGGAAAATCACGAACAAGCGCTCTAAGTGGATCCATTCGGGAATAATGTCAGAACCAAATTTATATGCAACTGAGCGTAGTTCTCAATTTCGGCTCAGATTGAATCTCAGATTCAAGCGATCAAGGTTACTCTGGAACGTCTCTCATTTTTTGCCTCGCACATCGTTGTTCATACTCTAATGAAGTGGCTGAAACCTTCCATATCATAGGCTCCTGCCATTGCATTTGAACTAACCTTCCTTCAGTTCAACTTCGAGGATTTTGTTACTAATCATGGCCCTGGAAGCCTCAACCGCACGGTCTGTTGCTGACGACCAATCAACCAGGGGCGGTGCTTCCCTGACACGTGCCGCACCGTGAAGTAGACACTTTTGTCCCAGCAGATGTGGCCTCCACTCACCTGTAGCCAAAACGTTCGGAAATCACTCTTTCTCAAACTGATCTTAATCGCCATTTAACTGTTCTGAATATTCCTGGGCTGCGGACCACATCTGGAGATTTGGCAGTTTCTCCGCCAGTGAGATAGCCTCTCCGTGACCGAATTTATGCCCTAGTGGGTTACTTTGTGTATTTGTTTGCGTGTATTGTTTGTTGTTTGTGTAATGTTTGCCATATTTCTGGGATAGACTCTAATTTTATACGGAAACCATTCACACTGGGCGTCGACATATCGTTCTCTGAATGTGAAAAACCTCTTGTATGGTTCATGCGCAGGGTAACGAAACATCGAATGAATCACTACACCATGTTACTTACCATGTAAGAGTAGGTGAATAAGGGAACAATTTTCGTAACCAAATCGGTGATTGTAACGTGGAAGATTTATGCAATGGTATTTGTCTATCGCCGTAGGTTATTCGTTGTTCTAGAACATCAGGCTGCCCACTCGTGAATCTCTTTGTTTTCTAGTGCATCATACGCACCGTTAAATCGCGTGAGATGATTGCTACACTTTGCACCACTTGACGTCATCCTCACTTTCCTGGCTCGAACAATATACAGTGGGTCGGTAGAGACACGGTCGAAAAACGTATGCGGCCGTATTAATTTTGGTGATGAGCTGAACTGTGAAACTTTGTGAATGTGAACGTGGGTTTGTTAGTTGACAGAACTTGTTGCAACCGAAGTCGGCATTCGTGCTATCAGAAAAAATACGTGTGGAGTTCACTTTTGCATCATTCCGTCACTCATTTAGGAAACTAAAAATTGAAAAGCTCAACCCTCAACCACATGCTCACTGAATAGTGATTAATTGAATTTAATACTCAGAAGCTGCTGCGTCCTTCGCTGAGATGTCGTGAAACACCATGAATCGAGCGCATTTCAGGATAAGTGATATCATCTCAGATTCCCGAGTGGAAGTTGGCCTCCTCACAGAGATACCTGCCCTTTCAAACCCAACAATACATTTTGGGTTCCACATCACATTTCGACAACTAGTCTCATTTGCACACGAATTCACTTTTGGAAAGAGACTCAAATGAACTCCTCCTCAATATGGTCACCTTCAACGCAATGTGGAACATACTGGTGATGGAAGCTCAGGGAGTGCGAGTATTTGGTGATTCCAAGGATGCGGATGCGCTGTTTGATTTTTCAATATATTTCAATAACCCTGTGAGCCTACAACGACGTAGGGTCACGAATATCGTACTAACTGGAATAGGAAGCGGCCCATGCAGCACGTCCAGCTGAATCGGAAAATCACGAACAAGCGCTCTAAGTGGATCCATTCGGGAATAATGTCAGAACCAAATTTATATGCAACTGAGCGTAGTTCTCAATTTCGGCTCAGATTGAATCTCAGATTCAAGCGATCAAGGTTACTCTGGAACGTCTCTCATTTTTTGCCTCGCACATCGTTGTTCATACTCTAATGAAGTGGCTGA